CACACACGCCCCTGCCTCTTGGTCTCCAGGTCTCTCAGCCAGGCCAGGCCTTGGTTCTTCCTGTTGGCATTTCCGAGTTGCTGCCTTTTGCCCACCAGTAACGTGTGGATTCGGAGCTGCCTAAATAAAAATCCAGGCCCACCGCTGTTAGTCATTGCATAGCAATCCTGTATAGACTTTCCAAGGCTGAAAATCTCATCTTTCTCCTAAGGAGCTGCTGGTGGGTTTGAACCACCGACCTTGCAGTTGGCAGTCCAGTGCTTATTCATAGCTGCCTGCTCCTCTCTTTTCCCCTCTTTGCTTCCCCCAGTACCCGAGCCTGCGAAGACAATCTGCTCATTATTCAGAGGGTTTGTTGGAACAGTCTCATGGCTGTGCATCGTCTGGGAGGGACCCCAAAACATCGACGGTCCGCGTGACTCAGTCGATGGGCCAGCCTCAAGGAGCCCTTTCCGTTTTCCTTGAGGGGAGCCATGCACTTGAGGGTAGAAAGCACCCCAAAGCTCCTGAAAGCCCAGGAGGCCCCAGACCCTGGTTGTGATAAGCTCTGTGGGATGGTGCCCACGGGGGGCCCCTAGACCCATGCCTTGCCTCCTTTCAGGTGAAGAAGTGAAGAACCCACAAAAGGCCATTCCTGTGGGCATTGTGGCGTCCCTCCTCATTTGCTTCATTGCCTACTTCGGGGTGTCGGCTGCCCTCACACTCATGATGCCCTACTTCTGCCTGGACAAGAACAGCCCCCTGCCCGACGCCTTCAAGCACGTGGGCTGGGAAGGCGCCAAATACGCTGTGGCTGTCGGTTCCCTCTGTGCTCTGTCCACCAGGTGAGAGGCTCCTTGCACAGGCTCCTCCCCAGCTTCGGACCGTGCCAGGAGGCATCACAGCCAGACAAGCAGGCCAGCTGCGGACATCTCCCTCCAGAGTACAACCTGGGGGCCAAGCCCAGCAATGAAGTGCTGCTGTTGTCAGCTGTCCCCACAGTAGAGAAAGTTCTTGGTATCTCAGTCACCAAGAACCAACCTGAGGGCCACTTTCTAATGTCACCATCATGCCCGGCCACCCCTTCAGTCGCCATTATTTGACCCTTACTTGAGCTGCGAAGTAAGGGCTACTTCACAGAGTGCAGATGGGATGTCCATGGTGTTTCCTAGCAGCCTGTATAAACAGGAAGTAAGGGGCTAGCTCAGGAGCTACCAAAGCGAAATGCTCACTGATGCATGGATGCCCATGTTTGCTGTTGGATCCAGTCAGGAGCAGTTGCAGGAATAGGTGCACACCCTCCCCTCTCATGAAGCGTGGCCAGATATAACATTGATTTCTGTAAGATTTTTGTTTCCCCGATTCATGAAAGTAATCCACACCTACAACATCCCTGGCTGACTTGCTGGCTTCCATGCCTTTGGGTTATGAGTTTCAGAGAGGCGGGCTCTGAGAATCTTAGAAGTCCGTTCTCAGGAATACGCCGGGCATGAGGGGGATTATTCCTGACAAGCTAGTTTTCACTAATGCGTTGTCTCCTCCACTCCCCTCCCCCAGTCTTTTAGGGTCCATGTTTCCTATGCCTCGAGTTATTTATGCCATGGCAGAAGATGGACTGCTATTTAAATTTTTGGCCAAAATCAACGATAGGACCAAAACACCAGTAGTCGCTACGTTAACATCAGGCGCCATTGCTGGTAAGCATAGGAACGGATTTCATATTCCAGGTGCTCTAAGAGCCGAGGCCGGCCCGTAAGAAAGGATAACTGTTTTCCTTTTGAACACTGGTGTTTGCACTGGGCAGCTGGTTCATCAAAAGGCAGCTGCCCATTTGACAGAAGACAGCTGCCAGTTTCACAGAGGATGCGATGGAGCTCACCCGGCATGGACAGAGCTCAGAATGCACATGCCCCATCTCCTTCAAGACCATGCATCTTTGTCCTTTCCCAAACATCTCACTGAGTAGATCTGCCAGGATGACATCGTCTTACGTAGCGTAAGACAAGGAGACTTTCTTTTTGTATTTGGATGGTCAGTGTCCATCCATCTCAGCTTGTGAAGTCTCTAGAAAATTAGTCTTCTGTAGGAGCAGCCATTCTGTTGCTAAGTTAGGAAACACAGGGCTCAGTCAGGTTTTGTACTTGCAGTGACTGGCGGAAAGTCCATTGATAAGATGCTTGACCACCTTAAATGAGTGAATTTGTCACAGATTTTTACTAAGTTTGCTGAGTTTCATACATGAGCCTCATATGTATTGGAAATCCTGGTGTGGTGCTTGGAGGATAAGGCACCTGGACTGCTCAATAACACTTAACAACAGCAATGAAAGAACACGAGTTTTTCCACACAATAAATTTAGAATAAGGGACCTTGGTTACACTGACAGTTCAGGAAGCACTTGGCAGCTACCTGAATGGTGGGCTGTTTGAATCCTGGCACCCTAGGAAACCCTATGATTCTGTCACATGGGGTCGCTATGAGCCAGAATTGACTCAGAATTGAGGGCACCAACAAGATCCTATAAAACCCTATGGGACATTTCTGCTCTCTCATGTGTGGTCGCTGTGAGTCAAGATTGACTTGACAACCCCCAACAAAAGCAACAACATTGTGAAGATTGCGTTTCCCGGTGGTAAGTGGTCGAGTTGAAGGCCACTGTGGATCAGAAGAAGACCAATATATTTACGGGATTGAAGAATTGAACGTGGTCATTTTCAAGAATGTGCATGTAATTTATCATATGGAATATGGTCTCCATTTCCTCGCTGTGTGGATAGAGGGAGGTCACGCTGTAATCTCTAGGGGGACAAGAATGTGCATGCCATTCACCGGGCTACAGGTTTACTCTTGGCTTTCGCTGAGCCGGAGTGTTTGATTTTCAAAGATCACCTTGTGTGGAAGACATAACATTTCCGGTCTCTCCCTGAGCAGCAAGATGGGCATGTGTAACGAACATAGTTGAATGCTGTTCTAAGTATTCAAAAGACTCTCACTGCTTTCTCATCCTATTATTTTTCCTCAATTTAAACTTGTTTTTGTTGTTGTGATCTGGAAGGCCTTGAGTAGAGATTTGTGAGAAAGTAATGGTTTCATGTTTTTGGTGTTCATTTGTACTGATTGCATATGATTGAAAAAAATCCCAAAGTAAATCAACCCAAGTGTTTTACACAGGAAATCGGACACGCATACATGTAAATAAATACACATATTCTCTTAAAGATGGCAAAGGAAGATCATGGGCAGATGTAGTTGGATGAATGGAAGATGATGGGTAGTGGATAAGGGTACATGGATGGATGGAAGGTGATGGACAGAAGTTGTATGGTGATGGATGTTGGAGGATGGATAGGTAAATGAGGGATGCATGCGTGGATGGATGAAAGGAAGATGGTAATGGATGTAGTTGGATGAATGGAAGATGATGGGTAGATGGATAAGTGTACATGGATGGATAAAAGATGATGGATGGATGGAAGGAAGACAGTGGTTGGATGCAGATGGATGTATGGAAGATGATGAGTAGATGGATAGAAAATGATGGTTGGGTGATGATGATGGATGGATGGATGGAAGGAAGATAGTGATTGGATGTAGATGGATGGGTAGATGATGATGAGTATGTCAGTGGATCCAGGGATGAGTGAAAGCTGATGGCTTCATGTATGGAAGATGATGGATAGAAGATGAGTGTTGAAGGATAGACAGATGAATGGGAGGTGCATGCATGGATGGATGAAAGGAACATGATGGTTGAATGTAAATCGATGAATGGAAGGTGACTGGTAGGTAGATAAGAGATGCATGGATAAATGGAAGATGCTGGGTGGGTGATAATGGATTGATGGGTGGATGGAAGACGGTGATTGGATGTAGATGGATGAATGGAAGATGATGGGTGGATGATGATAATGCATAGATGGATGAGTGAACATATGGATGTATGGAAGATGAGTGGAAGTTGATAGCTAGATGGATGGATGGATGGAAGTTAGACAAGAACCTCTTCCAAATGCTGTCTATCCTCCTTATTTGTTGTGTGACCTTGGATAACTCTCTATACCTGTCTCAACTAGTGTCTCTAGCTATTCAAGATACCATTGCCATGCAAAAAGGTGATGTTGATGCAGGGTCTTTCTGTATAGATGTTAATCTGTGGGGGGCTGCACTCCTTGTGGCTTGCATCACTGGTGGGTGGTGGTTCTGGTTGTCAGCTGTGGCTTGCTGACCTCTGTCTCCTCTCCAGCTGTGATGGCCTTTCTCTTTGACCTGAAGGACTTGGTGGATCTCATGTCCATTGGGACTCTCCTGGCTTACTCTTTAGTGGCCGCCTGCGTGTTGGTCTTACGGTATGTATGGATTTTCAGGGTTCTGTGGCAGACATGCAGACATGCCCTGACCCTCCCCCACATGAACGCATTTTGATAACTTTCAAGGATTCAGTAATAAGAGCCATGGGGAACTGCTTCGACCCCACCTTCCCCTCACCATGTGTCTTCACCTTTCTGGCTAAGTGTTGGAAGACAGACTCTCAGCCCATCTGCTCCACCTGGATTCTGGATTCAGGGTTTTCCACAGTGGTTATTCCCTCGACTCCTAACCAGAGTTTGACAATTTGAGCCCAACCAGTGGGAGAAAGCCTTGAGAGTCTGCTCCCATAAAGATGGCAGCCTAGGAGACTCTGGGGCAATTGTACTTTATCATTTGGGATCGCTGAGTCGGAATACACTTGAGACACAACCACAAGGACATCAACGAGGTCCAGGTTTCTGGGAGAGAGGGGGCTGGGGAGGGTCTCAGGCCTATAATGCATCGATAGCTGCACTCACCGTCGCTGGAGGAGTTCATCCCATCACATGGCATGGGGCGGCTGAGGTTCACACGCATCACACTGCCCAGGTTCTGGCCCTTTTCCCATTCTCATCAACATCAAATTCTTGTCTCTGAGTCAACCAGTTGTGGCAAAAGACTGTGAAAATGAGAAGTTTCATGACATACTGCAACTAAATAAATGCAAGGCTGTAGGCTCAAGCCCACCCTGAGGTGCATTGGCCAGCCATGGTAAAGTGGCTCCAAGCCCTGGAGTTCTCAGCTGCTCCCTGCATGCTCCTGCAGCACGTGGTCTGGGGTCTAGCATCTCCTTACCCCTGGGAGGCCAGGATTCTGATCACTCAGCGGCATTGGTGCTGAGAAACGTCTCTTCGTATCATTTTAGGTGTTTATACCTGCCAGGCTAGGGCAAGCCCTGTGGCTCTGTAGAATAATCACTGGACTCCAAACCAAAAGGTCAGCAGTTCGAGCCCACTAGCTGCTTCATGGGAGAAGGATTAGGCTTTCTACTCCCATAATGATTTACAGCCTTGGAAACCCTACACAGGGTCGCTATGAGTCGGAACCGACTTGACGGCAGTTAACAACAACCTATAAGGCCATGAATTCTGTTTCTTTAAAGTGGTCATTGGTGGTGGTGTTAAGTACCATGTAGTCGGTTCCGACTCATAGCAACCTTGCATAGGGTTTCTGAGGCAGTAAATCTTTATGGGAGCAGAAAGTCTCATCTTTCTCCCTCAACAGCGGGTAGTTTCAAACTGCTACCTTGAGGTTAGCAGCCTGACTCATAACCACTACGCTGTCGGAGCTGTTTTATAGGAAAGAAACCCACATTTCAACCGGATGAACTCCACTGACCCCTGGCTCCTTTTAAAAGGCCTTGGTGGTGCTATGGTTAGAGTTCTGCTCTGTCCTTGAGTTGGTATCGAGTTGATGCAGTGAGTTTCGGTTTTTGTTGTTGTTGTTTTACTCTTGGGGACCCAAAAACTAAAACCTTGGGTGAGGTTCCTCTACTTCCTCAGTTGACAGAGTGGTGGTGAGTTATACCATGGAATCAGTCTAGAATACTTAAAAATCTCTCTCCTGACTCTTGGAAGTAATTACATGCAAACGAATTCATAAAGCACTGTGGTTTTCAAAGCAGGCAGGGTCGAGGCGGGCTCTGCTCGTTTGGGGCAGGGAGATAAGGAACCTCATTTCAGACAAATGCAGGTGCCTTGTGTCTTGGAAATTGTGGCCACTGGTGAGGGCCTTCACCCGCTTGGTAGCATTATTTACTCCAAGGCACTTGGAGTCTTGAAATAAATTGATTCAATTAAGGCCTGCAAATAGAATTTCTCAAATCTATCAGCCTGCAGACAAGTCTGTGTGGCCCTCTGCACCAATGGGACTCTAAAGTTATTGCTTTTCTATTTCTGTCCTGTCCTCAGCTCCCGGCAGCTGTACGCCTGCTGGAAGCGGCTATCTATCTTAGCCATTGAGGGCCTGTGCTACTTAACAAACCAGTGAGAAGTGTCAGGACATTTTGGGGGTGCTGGTTAAGAGTGAAACACCAAACCCACTGAAATAGAATCAATTCTAGCTCATAGCAACATGATGTTGTTGTTGCTAAATGCCATAAAGTTGGTTCCAACTCACAGCGACCCTGTATAGGGTTTCCAAGGAACAGCTAGTGGATTTAAACCACCAACCTTGCAGTAGGCAGTCCAGCGCTTAGCCCACTATGCCACCAAGGCACCTGGAATGCATGTCCTGCACCCCTAAGACTGAAGTGCCAGGAAGTGTGTTGCCAGAAGCAAAGGCAGAGGGTAAGAGCCCATGTCTTTCCTCAGGGTGGAAGTGTGAATCTGGTAATCTGCTCCTATAAAGATTACAGCCTAGGGAACCCTAGGGGCAGTTCTCCTCCATTACATCAGGGGGCGCTATGAGTCAATAGATTAGCGTATATAAGAGTGTATATAGGGACACAGTAGAGGTTCAAGCTGGATTCAGAAGAGGCCATGGAACGAGAGATATCATTGCTGATGTCTGATGGATCTTGGCTGAAAGCAGAGAATATACCAGAAGGATGTTTACCTGTGCTTTATTGAATATGTGAAGGCTTT